AATGAAGGTTCTAATCTAATCTAATACATAGCCATTACATGTCTAACTCCTGATAATGACAGGAAGACAGAAAGCGCATTATACTAATAATAATAATACTACTCATAATAATAGCAGACATTTTTGAACAATGAGCACAATATAATTATTTTAATAAACCAAATATGAACAATTGAGGAAAATGAGGAAGAACTGATGATTCAAATGTTGTAGTACAAGTAGTAATGTAGTTAGTGCATAAATTACTATTGCAACAAATGTGTTAATTTTTCTTCATTATTAGTCGATTTTTTAAATGCAGACATATGTTGCAGGGACTACGAGAATCATCATACTGGCGTGACTGTAAACATCAAGGGGTTAAATAAAAAAAATGTATGTGTTTTAGATATCGCGATATTTACTGACTATATCGCGATATATATCGTATATCGCGATATAGTCAGTAAATATCGCGATATCATTTAGAGACCATATCGCCCAGCCCTATAGCAGCCCTGTAATACTTTGGTACTACATCTTTGTGTGTGTGTTGAGGCCTTACAGATGGAGAGCGCTCCACAGAGAGTAACAGCGTCCTGAGGCCCATCTTCCCTCAAGTGCTGCCTGAGCCTGTCAAACCGCTGCCAGAACAAAGCTCCCAGGTTTCTATGTTTCTTTGACCATCCACAGGTTTTCTAAAGGGCTTGGAACATGTTGTGCTATTTAGTGTTTTTACCTGCAATGTTCATTTGGATTGTGTTATTCAGGATCCTGTAAAGTGATCGTCATTTTAAAAAAGTGAATCTTTTCAGGTGATTTTTAACCCTGAGAAACTGCTTTGTAGATATATGAGTTTGTCCTCAAATGTATCCAGGCTGGGTTTTGAGCTTAACTATTTGACAATAAATGATTTTGTTTGAACAGTTTTGGCAGCAGATAGTTGGGTATCAGCACTTGAACATTTTGTTTATCTTTTCAAGTTGATTCCCTACACTGAACATGCTGATTTTTTTTTCCCTCGCCTGATAGATAAATACTCTGTTACTGTGATAATAAAAGTACTGGTACAAACATATTAATTGGTGAAATACATAGTAAATGTGTACACTTGGTACCTTTTGAATTACATCACAGAATCCATTTTTTCTGTTTAATAACTTGCTTGAATGAAGTTCAAGATTTCAAAGGTCAAATGAAGTTGTTAATTTCATAATTTGTCACAGAAGAAATTATCCAACAAGAGAGGGCCGCCCATCCTTCAGAATCGTCTTCAGAAGAAGGGCAACGGTACAGTCACAGTGGAGGAAAAGAAAGAAAAAGGGGAGGAAGAGGGGGTCATCAGGTGAGTGTTGGCGTATGATCACAACTAACAGTTAGTTTACATATTTGTATAATTGATCTTTTATTCCTCTGGTGCCTTTTAGCTGGCGAGGTGCAGTGGTTGATACTGATAAGGACACAGAAGAAGCCAAGGATGGGGAAAGTAAGGATAATTTACTTGCCAACCATAAATCTGGATCTTCAAACCAGTCAGGTACCTGCTGTTTGTTTTCCCACTTGATCACATTTAACAAAGGAAAAACATTTCCATCACGATATTGGAGTCATTTCTAATGGTGACAATGAATTCAAACATCAACTTCAGATTATCATTATAATCTAAATAAAGATGGCACACTTCTTACACTTGTTTCTGAAAGATTGTGTAGACTGGGATGGGATAATAACTAGGCCTCTTGTGTGTGTTGTGTGTTTCAGAAGCTAGCTTGTTGGAGGCTGTGAAGGACGCTTTTAGACATGCATGGCAGGGTTATAAAGACTTTGCTTGGGGCCACGATGAGCTTCGGCCCCTCTCCAAGTCCTACAGCGAGTGGTTCGGTTTGGGTTTGACGCTTATCGATGCCCTGGACACCATGTGGATCCTTGGCCTCAAAGAAGGTAGACTGAGCTTTGTGCCTTTCAACTTTAAAATGTTACTGTCCACTAGTCATAACTGACAGATAAACCCCACAACCACCCAATCATCTTCTAAGGATTAAATACTCATCTCCTGTATGCTAGAAAGGTTGAAAATTGGGAGAGAAAAACACAATGCCTGCAGCGATTGGAAGACACAACCCTGCTGTTCGCATCATTCATATTGTAGCATACTGAAAGAATGGGTATTGGATACTGTCGTGGCTTCCTTCCTTGTTTTTCCATCAAGCCACTAGAAAGTCAATGCGGTCCTTCCTTGTTCACTATGAAGTCCGTGATTTGTAAACTCACGATTCACATCCGCTCGTATCCATTCATTTCCAAGAGTATTTCATTCATTATAATAATATGGTGGCAACCATTTAATTCCACACGGATTTGTCCGTCACAACAGTTTTTAACAATGTCGTGGCTTCCTTCCTTGTTTTTCCATCATGCCACTAGACGCCTTAAACAGACAGTTCTAACTCGTTTCTTTCCTTAAATTACTCACAGTTTGAAGTGTTGCTTGGCCTCCGATGGTTTAGAAGATGTTGCGATGTGTTTGCTCAAAATAAAATAACAAACTTTTGCACATGCAACAAAGAAAAATAGGCCTTTACAATATTCAAAATAAATAGGCAAAACTCAAATAAAACAAACAACTTAGGTATTCTTTCTTTCGTGATAATGCTTATAACTTCACAACTTAAATGGTACTTGTACGGTTTTTATGTATGTGTACGGTACGAGTACATTACGGTTAAAAAAACTGTTCTTCGACGGCGTCTCTCAACAGGTTGCCCAAAACTGTGGCGTTAGCACAGGCGCCGTGGGAATTGTAGTCCTTTATAGTGCGTTGACTAGACGTCACAATTAGGTTGCCTTTCTTATTGTAGGAGCCAATTAACATCTGTGGGTATAAAGGTAGGAACCTATGTTTGGTGGTGAGAGGTTCCGCCGGAAGGCCATACAGTTTTTGACCACACACGGAGAACACACACACAGAGAACACACACACACACGGAGCACACACAAAGCACACACACAAACACGGGATTACAAGCAAAGCAAAGGTATTGTGTAAACGGTAATATCGTGTGGTGAATATGGAAAGAAGCAAGTAAAATGGAAACCAGTAAAATGGAAATAAATGGACTGTTTCAAACTGGAAACTTGGTTTCTGACCTTTATTCGGCAGCAATCTTGTGTGCGTCAATTACACCCACAAAGCGGATCCTCAGAGGCTTAAAGCGTTGGCTTAGCCTCTACACTTATCAAATCAAAAATATTGGCTCTAACATACCGGCCCCTATTGTTATGGGCATCTTTAATAAAAATAAACAAAAATTAAAAAAGATCCAGACAAAGTCAGTCTTCATATTCTATTTGAGATAGACAGGGTGTCTTAATTGTCCATCTTCAGTTATTTCCTTATTCTAAGGCAGGCACCAGTAGGCATATTTTACTTATTGGTCTTTCCAGCGTGTTGGTTTTTGTCTTACTTTTTAACATGAAGAAATAAGGACAGCAAACAGCTAAATGAGTTCCCCAAAATAGATAAATGTTAATTATTTGTTGTATTGAGTGATATTTAATTATTGTTGTGACCAGTCGGAACCTGATACTTAAAGAGCATCTTGCAGGTTATTTCTACATTTATGCTTAAACTTGCTTGAAAATTACAATTAAAAAAGTGAATGTAGGATTTGATATGTTTTACGAGACATAAGGGCAGGAATTCAGAGGGAAAGGATCAATTTTGAGCTCTGCTCTTAAAAACGGCTTTTTTTTTAAGGTCATACGTCAAACGCGTCATATTACATCACAAAGGGGAAACATCTCCGCTCTCTGACCGCGGGTATAGTTAGTAGTTGAGTTGAGCGGTTGTGTTTTAGTGAGCTGGTATTTTTCGGTAATTTTACATTGTATTTCACCATTTGTAATCATGGTGCAGTATTGTGTTTGTGCAGGTTGCACAAATACCAGCCTGTCAGGACATCGAGTCCACAGTTTCCCTCACGGGAAAAGGGCCGGAGCTAGCATTCATTCCTGGGTGCGTTGTGCATCCACCTCCCTACAGCAAATACTCTCCACAGCCTTATCAGGAAACCGTATTACATCTCTCTCCCCCAACCCCCCCCCCCCCC